TAAGGAGTTTGTAAAATATTAATTTAAATAAGTTTGAAATTATTGGATTTTTTTTTTTTAAATTATTATTTGAATTATTAGATATTTTGTTTCGTTTTAAGGGGGGGAACTGTAAAATATTAATTTAAATAAATTTGAAATTATTGAGATTTGTTTATTATTATTATTTAAATTTTTAAAAGTACCTATGAAATATTAATTAAATTAAATTTGAAATTATTGGATTTTTTTTTTTTAAATTATTATTTGAATTATTAGATATTTTGTTTCGTTTTAAGGGAACTGTAAAATACTATTTTAATAAATTTAAAATTATTGGACTTTTATTATTATTATTATTATTATTTGAATAATTAGAAGTACCTATGAAATATTAATTAAATTAAATTAGAAATTATTGGAGTTTTTGTATTACTATTATTTAAATTATTAGATATTTTGTTTCGTTTTAAAGGGGAACTGTAAAATATTAATTTAAATAAATTTGAAATTATTGAGATTTGTTTATTATTATTATTTAAATTTTTAGAAGTATCTATGAAATATTAATTAAATTAAATTAGAAATTATTGGAATTTTTTTATTATTATTATTTAAATTATTAGAGATAATGTTAATTTTAGGGGATCTGTAAAATACTATTTTAATAAATTTGAAATTATTGGAATTTGTTTATTATTATTATTTAAATTATTAAAAGTACCTATAAAATATTAATTAAATTCAATTTGAAATTATTGGAATTTTTTTATTATTATTATTTAAATTATTAGAGATAATGTTAGTTTTAGGGGATCTGTAAAATACTATTTTAATAAATTTAAAATTATTGGACTTTTTTTTTTATTATTATTATTATTATTTGAATTATTTTGTTTCACTACTTTTAAGGTACCTGTAAAATATTAATTTAAATAAATTTCAAATAAATAATATTGTTTTTAATCAAGAAAACACGTTTATCAATTAGAAATCTAAGAAAATATTTTTGTCTTATGTTAATCAACGTGTACCTGCATTGTTTTATTTTTTATAATTATCTTAATACAACAAAATTAAAATTGAATATTGCAATAATTTTTTATACAAATCGAATAAATCGATATAACCATCAATTAATTAATTAATTAATTAATTTTGTTTCGTTGACAGGTGAGAAATTATTTCAAAAAAAAAAAAAAATAAATAAATGTCTAACACCAACTGTAAAAGTTCAAGCTCCTTGGCATACAGGAAGTCTGCTAGGAGAAGAAAACCAAGGAAGTTCATATTACAGATATCGCTAATGTTAAATGGTGTGTGTGTGTGTGTGTATGTGTGAATTAATATGTATAGGTGTGTACTGTTAACGGGAGAAAGAAAGAGAAGGAAGCAGGTGAGATTGGTAGTAGGGATAGTTAGTATGAGAAAGATAGAAAAAAGACAAAGAGAAAGAAGAAAGAAAGAGAAAGAGAGAGAGAGAAAAAGAAGGGGAAGAAAGTCATGGAAGATACCATAGAAAATACGTTGACAGTCATCCCGTTTATGGTTACCATCATTTTCTTTCTATTTTTATATATTCATTTATATTAGATTTGTTTCAATACATGCATTAATATACGTGTGTATGAGTGAGCTTTTACGAATAAATTTATTATCCTCCTATATATCAAACGTTTAAATACAAATAATAATATACACGTGTTCGCAATTAGGTGCGTTGACCGAATGTGTTTATTTTTTTTTTTTTTTTCTTTTTTTTTGTAATCTCAATCAACTCTTTCCATCATTACCGTTATTACGGATCGGTGAATAAATTAAATCGAGGGAATAATTTATCATGGAGAAAGCTGATAAGTTAAAAGATCTTTCATTAAACTTTGTTAAATCAAACAAAAACTGTAACGAAAATCTTGAATTAATTGATATTATATATGTTTTAAAAAGTAATACAAAAGATATTGTTTAATTTGAAATAAAATATTGGTCAAGTAGGATTATTTTTCATTCCGTATGCATTTACGACACGTATACACACGTATAATAAAATACTGTTACTGTTATTGTTGTTGTTGTTGTTGTTGTTGTTGGTTGCTTTACTCTTTGCGCAATCGAGAAGAGACGAACGATGCGTACAATAAAAAAAAAGAAAAAAAGTGCATTAAAGTCATCACTGGAATGTATAATTTTTTTACCTCATTCTCCTTTGTTGATTTTGTATTACCCAAAGAGATATATGAAATGTACTATAATCACATTTACGTTCGTGCGCATCATTCATTCTTCAATGTGCTAAATTTAAATGCATTAAAAAACGTTTACAGTTCATCGATTGCATCCTTTGATATTTTTTTTTTTTTTTCCTATTAAATTAAATATAAATCGTAAAAGAAAAAGAAAAAAGAGAACAAAAAACCGATTGCGTATTATTAATATGTCGTGCGTCAAGTTTGTTGTTAACTTTCACTGTGTGATATCCCCCCCCATAAAACGCGTGATACGGATTCAAATGATTCCCGTAGAATGAAATTTTCTTTAACAGTGTACGTAATAATAGTATGGAATAGATATGAACAAAAAGAATAATAATAAAAAGCATTGCCTGCGAGCAGTCATGAAAGTATCCTCTAAGATGATCTTAAAAGATGAGACAGGATGATGATCATGGAGAAAGTGGGAAAATATTAACCTCATTCAGTTATTTTCGTCGTCTTCGTCGACGTTGTGTCGAGATAATACGAATAATAATAATAATCTCTTGTTAGAACATTTCTTTTTCTTTTTTTTGAAAAATATATATATATATATGTATATATAATTTATACGTGAGAAGTAGTTTTGTTTTTGGTTTGTTCCTATCATTTTATTTTTTTATTTTTTTATTTTTTTATTAAATAACTATGAAGCCTTTCATGCCACTTGATTTTATGAAAGAAATATTCTTGTTAACTGTATATATTCGAACCATCTTTAGTAGCAAAATGAACATAATGCGCTTTCACCGTCGTTCTACAACTACAACGACAAACTTATTGCGGTCGTACTTTCCTCAAGATGTGTGTATATTCTTTTAACTGGTATATCAGTGTCGCGAAAATAATATACTGTATATATTATTTTATTTTACAATAGTTTCAAATCTGTAAATAGATACATCAGACATTTTTTTTTGTTTTTTTTTTTTTTTTAATTCGTCGTAACGATACGAATTATGAAAAATTTGTAATTATATGCTTGCGTACAATTGAAGATATTTTTTTAAATATCTATAAATTATTTTATTACGAACAATTGTTAGTTAGAGTGTTGACAAATATTTATTTGATAAATTAGTATACTATTCATTATGAATTACGCTATATCATCTATCTATTTGCTAACAATTGTGTTATGAGTTTAAAATAATGTTATTTGACGGATGTATTTCTGGATAAAGAAAAATTGTATATATTTACAGACGTTGTAATTCATGTGGTTAATTTTAATTATATTTTTTTTAAAAAGAAATCATTTAAAATTTAATGAAGAAACATAATACATATACACACACACGTACGTAAAAGCAGAATTTGTTAATTTTATTAAAAGATAGTTTCATTGTTTTAATTGAGAAAGTACGTTGGAGTTTAATCACTTTTTAATTGGGACAAAGATGTAATTAAGTACATGGAAAACCGGTAAATTTAATTACAAACCATTTATGTTAGGATTACGTGCAGGAACGATGTCCCATTTTAAGTTTTCGCGCCTGTTCATACGTTGCTGTTTACTCTTTCCGGTAGATCCTTCGTATTTTCAATTGAAAATAATCAATTGCGAACGAGGTTAATACCATCTTTGGATAAATAAATGGAAATCCCATTGAATTTAATACATGTAAATCTCATTTAAGATTATAATGGTTTGTTTTTTTCAAACCCAAATGCGTTATTTGTTTTTATTCTAAATAATTTAATCAATCAATTGATTTGATTAATTTTGAAAAATTATTTTTAAACGAATCTTAAAACCACATAGTTCAATTACATTTCCATTTATTTTTTTTTTTTTTAATTAATGCGTTGTATGCAATATTTTGTATATTTATTTAATAATTTGGATATTTAAAATACCAACGATTTTGTCCAATTACTTTTTTTAATATAAATTAATTTATCATGAAACTTAAAAAAATTAGGGACCCTGTAGGAGGGACGCGCCAAAGAATTTTGAGGGACAGGAACTTATGTAATCACGTGATTGCGCGCGAATGAATCAAACATTTTAAATAGTATACAAGTTGTATATAGTGTAGGGGGTAGAGTGATGAATTGGTTTGAAAAAATTATGAAATAATGAATTGCATCAAATACAGAAAAAAAATGAACCATATTTAATGATAATTAAAAAATTTTTAATTAAAATAGATTAGGTTACACACAAAAATTATTATAAATTCAAAAAGAAAGATTCAATTAAGTTTGATTTGATAAAAGGCATTACAGTATTTTGAAATTTCAAAACAACTTGTAGGAATTTATACAATTTTGATAAATACAATTATCTAATATATATATATTATATTTACAATTATTTTAATCATTCGAACAATTTGTTTTTAATTTCCAATATTAATAAATCAGCTAGGATTCCTGGATATTATATCTTCATAACTAACCACAGCCGTTACTTATACATACTAAAGATAAACATGGCTGCGCGTTATATCAGAAGCTGTCCCCCAAAATTTTCAGCCAATAGCAACCCCAGCAATATGTATGGCACGTCCCTCCTACAGGATCTCTAAAAAAAATAACACACCGTCGCCATCTGTGAGATACTACTTGAAATAACTTGGTTCTGTCTAACCTCTTTAAACTCGTGCAATGTGAGATATTTACTTTTATATAATTTAATAAAATATGCATTTATATGATAATATTTGACAACTTTGTTGCATTCTACTTACAATTAATAATACTATAGTAGATAAATAAAAAAATATATATATATATATAAATATATATACACATAATATATATTTAATTATTATTTGAATTTGAATTGCATTGCTAAGTTACGAATGAACAATTGTAGAAATTTAGTTGTACCGAGTGAAATCTATCGTTTCAATAATTGAAAATGGTAATATGTAATGTATTAAACATAATTGTGTTGACATATATTCCAAATTGAAATTGATTTTTACGGTACATTTTACTATACAATATTGTATACAACAAAAATCATGGATTTATCTAATATAGCATTTATTGTTTAGCAATAATTAATAAACAGATTTATTTTGTGAAATGTGTCCTTGCAAAAGACACTTTTTAAATATATTGAATTATATTTTACCCAAAATCAAAGTATTAACACTTACTTGATTTCATTTATACAGTTTCTTTTCATTTTTGAATATTTCTTTTCAAATTATAACCTTCCTTGTATATCTATGATTGCATATTTGTTATTTCACTTTAAACATAATTATCTTTTCAATTTTACAGGCAACAAATGACTGTTGCAACCCATCTCAAAGTAATCGAGAATAATGAAGAGTCCTAAAACGAAGAAACAACAAAGATTGGAAAAGAAAAAGAAGAAAATGGCTGCTCTTTTGGAGATTGTTAAATTGAACGACGAAGATAGAATGTTTAAAATGAAACAAACTGTAAGTTATTTTATGAACATCTAATTTTGATATCATATCATTAAATTGAATACATTTTAAGAAAATGGAACAAACCGATTCAATGAATGACTTGAATAAAAGTTCTGAAATATTAAATAATGAAAAGTTAAATCGTAAACGATCTTGTTCAACTAAGGTAGATGAAACCAATAATAGTACGAGTGATGAAATAAAAGATGAAGAGAATACTACAATAAAAGAAGACAAAGAATGTGATCGAAAGAAGCCTAGGTATTTTGATTATTATAAATAGTTCTTTTAACTATAAAATCATTTTTAACAATGCATAAGATTTGTAAACTGTCTTTTCTGTTTTTTTTTTTTTTCTTGTTGTTGTCTAAATACAGATTATCCGAAGAAGAATATTTGAAGTTAAAGCAAGAATTAAAAGAACGTAAAAAATTACTTAAAGCAAGACCTCGATTACAATTAAAGCCAATTGGTGGAAATGCATGTCTCGTTTCTTATTCTTCAGATGTAGAAAGAGTTCCATTATTATTCAGTGATATACAAAATTTGTTATTGTATTCAATCCTTGGTCACCATTCACCATGCACAACTATGCGATGGTGTCAACTAGAAAAATACAACAAGGTAATAAATGAAATTAAATAATAACAATGATAAAAGTAATAAGATGCATTTAATTACTTATCTTTTTTGATGATTTGTTTTGCAGATCACTCACACCATAGTTTTTGTAGTGGAAGGTCTTACGGAATATCATTTCATGTCTTATGAAAGTGTATTTTCAAGCATAACAAGTAATTTGGAATTTCGTTTGGAAGTGTTTACACCATCATCTTATGGCAGTACCATAATAGAAGAACTTATAGCAGTACCCTTATCTAGAACACAAAGTGACAAACTAATTAAACGTATTTATTAATATATTCAACTAAATAGAAATATAATTAACGATAATACATAAATTTACAAGAGAGTATTTCTATTACAGAATTTGGCTCTTTAGATACTGCATTTCAAAATGGCACAGATATGATACGATTAATGAAAGCTGTCTTTCCTGTTAATATACCCATGTTCAAAAATAATAACGATCTACCTTCTACCGATAAGTTCTCTAGGGTTAAATTATTATTGTCCATACGACAAATGGTGGAAGAAAATTATCCCGTGCCAATAAAAGGAGATCTAGCGAGAAAGTAAATTTTATTATAATATGATGATATATTAAGTAAAACTATAGCTTTACAGAATTATATGAAACTGATGATGTATTTTAGATACCGTGATTATATATTCACAAAAGATAGTTACTTGGAAGTTACCGCTAAATCACCTATGTTAGGTTTGGATTGTGAAATGTGTAAAACCGATACTGGAAATTTGGAACTCACTAGAATATCACTCGTCGATGAAAGTTATAATGTAAGTTATATAATCTTTCAACAAAATTGTAAATGATTTTATATTTGTTTTTTTATCATTACAGGTTATTTATGATACTTTAGTTAAGCCTAAAAATCAGATCATCGATTACTTGACTCAATACAGTGGTATTACAAAGGAATTGCTAAGTGATGTTACTACAACTTTGGCAGACGTACAAAAAGAATTAAAAAAAATCATTCCCCCTGATTGCATTCTTGTAGGACAGAGTTTAAATTCTGATTTGCACACGTTAAAAATGATGCATCCGTATATCATTGATACATCTGTTATCTTTAATATAACTGGCGAAAGGTAATTAATATTTTTACAGTATATTTCGTAGATTTATTTTGATGAGTTTAGTTTTCTAACAAAATTATTTCCTTTTTTTGTTTTCAGACACCGAAAATCTAAATTACAACTTTTAGCGAAGAATTTTTTAGGTGTAAATATACAACAAGGTACAAAAGGTCATTGTTCGACGGAAGATTCGCAAGCTTCAATGAAATTAGTACAATTAAAATTAGCTAATAGTATAGATTTTGGGGATGCCGTAATACAAGCAGATTTGCAAGTCTGTGAAACTATAAAATTCGGTAATAATAATACATATGAAAAACAAAAGAAGAAACCTGAAATAAATAAATATGCAATGTCTATCTTTAACTACATAGCTAAAGAACAAAGAACTGCAACTATTGTCGGTACTGAAGAGATCATAAACGAATATTCGAAATATTTAAGTACATCATCCTTGAAAGTTAAAAACGATGAAAATTATAAAGAGAGTGATCAGGTAATTTAACAATTTATAGTACAATTAAATATAAAAATAATTTGTTATCTTAATAATTATTTTTCTCTTAAAGATACGCCTGGTAACAAGTGATAATAACAAGCATGCGGTTGAACGAGCCACCGAAATAGCAATCCAACATCAATTTGTTTTATGTCATGTTAAAATAAGTGAAGAAAAATTACAAAATGAACGTCTCAAACGAACCTTTTCTACTGTTAACAAATGGATTAATAAACTTTGGGATCATACAGCAACAAATGGTTTAGCATGTGTTGTATTTAGTGGTCAAGAAAATGGTGCGAACGGGGCTTGTTTTTTAAATGTGAAAAAACAAATGTTGTAGAAAGTAATTGTCTACTTGTAAAAAGAAAAAAAAAAGAAAGAGAAAGAAAAAGAAAAAGAAACAAGAGAAAAAAAAATAATTCAAACCAATTTATACATAAAGAAAATAAATTAATATTTTAAATACTGAAAAGTACGGCCTACTTAAACAAACAAAACAAAACAAAAACTATAACATTTTATTAGTTTATAACAAGATATGAGACCAATCATTTTCTTATGTAGTATTTTAACTAAATAATTATTTTTAGAAGCTAACAAAAAAGTTATAATTTATATAACTACTATTGATAATATTTTTTATATTTAATAATATGATTTTGACAGAAATGTATATACTTGCATCAAGTTGTTAAACTAAAGTATCATAAAATAGATGTAAAAGATTAATTATAAATTTCATTTTTATTTTTTATTCCTTAATTTTTGTTTATAATAATAACATATTCATTTTTCATTTTTTCTATTGAACATAAAATATTTGCTCGTACGATACCAATCGATCGATCGATTTTGCATGTTTGCAAGGAAAAGATTTAAATATATATTATATTTAGTCAAATCTTTGTAAACTTCAATCTCGTTGAGTTAACTTTGTTACAAATTTGAAAATTGAATTTTCAAAAATAAGGAAAGAAGAAAGGTGGTGAATTGGAGCAAAGAATCGTAAATTTGTTAATAAAAATTGAAATACGAGTTTTGGTAAGATGATTATAAAAGATATTATATATTCGTCATCATATGTGACTACAAATGTATATATAATTACATAGATATAGTTATATATAAATTGCAGAATTCCTCTATGTGTGGAAAACCCAAGGGGGGTGAGAAGGGGGGGAGGAGGAGAGTTTTGTTTTGCGGTAAGCACGTATATTTCTTGTATTATAATATTATTCGCGTATAATAATTAATAATGTATATGTAACGTAGTATATACGGTGTATATGTAATAAATTATACTATTTCATAGTTACATTTACATAAATAGCTATGAACGATGAAAAATATGACAAATATGCACGATTAAATAATAAAAAAAAAAAACGTTTACAGAAGTGAAGAGGTCTATGGTGGTTGTTGTTGTTGTTGTTGTTGTTGTTGTTGTTGTTGTTGTTGCTCAAGCGTGGACGAGTACATCAATAATAATATATTAACCAGTAATGATAATCTTATTTATTTCCGGTAATTTCCACGCGGTGGCAAATATTGATTACTTCCAATATTTCCATTACCGAAACCATTGTTTCCGTATCTGCCGTCTTTTTATTTAAAATATATAAATAAATTAAAAAAAGAAAAACAAGATTTCATAAATCTAGAAGACCATTGAATACAAATTCTGATTTAAATTCATTAAATTGACCGTACCTTGTGGATATTGAGCCTGACCTTCGTATTGAACATCAGCATTGTAACCATTAGCATCATCGGCTGTATATTTTACTATTTGAGTTCTCGAGTCTGGTAACAGTACTCTGTATTCCCCTTGTACAAGATTTCCATCGCTACTTTCGCGTTGAGAATAATCGTTTCCACTTGGTGGATCATAAACTTGATATTGGAAATTATACGGTTGCGGCTGTAAATTATAACGAAAGATTTGTTCAAACTGTGTGTAAATATAATCTTCAAACTAAATAAATCTTTGAATAACATTTTTGTACAATTGAACAAATTCATACCCTTCCATAATCTCCATTAAAACCACCTTGGTATCCTCTGTTACCACCGGTACCAAATCCAGGTGCCCCATAAGTAGAAGATACTCCTCCAAAATCACCCCCAGTACCACCACCAACACCTACACCACCACCACTACCGGCACGATTACCATCCCCTCCGAAAGCTGGTGTTCCATATAATCCCGAAGGTCTTTCTCGAAAGTTAGATCCACCAAAATCTGCACCACCTCTGCCAAATCCACCACCTACCCCACCTCCGAATCTATCATTGAATCCGCTACCTGGTCTGTATTGATACCCACCACTTTCACCACCACCCGGTAAGAGTCCAGCAAGTACATTACTACCGATACACGATAGTACTATGACAATTGTCGTACACTATAATAAATATTAAATTATATATATAGTTTCATTATATTATCATGTTTTTAATTGTTCTATTTATTTTAGCAGTTTCTCGTGTTTTAATATTTAATGGAACGATTAACCCCTTAAGAGAGGAACAATTTTGGCTCAACGTAATACAACGCCGCTTGCAACTTAAGGGGTTAAATTCTATACTTATAATTATATTTACCTTTTTAATTCTCTCTCTCAAACCCACCCTTATAAAATACCGTGTTAATTGTTTTCATTAAATAATTGTATAACAACGTTGCGTTTATTTGAAATTCTTCTTTTACATGAACGCGACCAACATAGGGGGTCATGTACCATGGAAATTTATATGCAAACCCTCCCCCCATTAAACACGTGACATTATATTTATCTCGATAAAATAAAAACGAACTATTAACAATAATTATTGATTAATTTCTGTCTCAACAATGTTTCTTTTCTATTTAATCGTATTCGAACAAAAATGGCGTGCGTACTTAATTTGTTTGTTTTTTTTATTTTGAAATGTATATAGGAATGAAAAGAGATAATTATTCCGTTGAATGATGCGTTTAAATTTCGCAATCAAATCTTCGTGTATTGGCGATCAATAATTAATGTTAATTATTTAATATAATCCATAAATAAATGACGTACCTCGTGATAATTCATATTGGTGTATGAACGATGAAGATTCTATGTGGACTGAGAAAATGATGCTCCGCGGTGTTTATATAGTCTGGTGATCCTTTGTTACAGTTTATCCTTAGTGCTGGGTTGCGTATACATATCCTTCCCTGCATTAGGATGAGCAACCGTAAGATGTGGGAGGCGTAAAAGAACGTATATTCCCTTCACTCTATGATGAATTACGGGATGAGACGTTCAGTGGATGAGTGAAATAGCTTTAAATTTTAATTGGGCCTACGCACGTGACTTCGAACTGTCGATTAGGGTACTACTACTCCTCATCGCGTCACGAAAGATACGAAATCTTTTCTTGAGGTAATTGAGATCACGATCTCTTCCGGCATCATAATCCTAACATCGAATTTAAACCCTCTTACGTCAATACTGTATTACCAAATAATATATTATAATATTTATTATTATTTTTCTTGAAAAACAGAAAAAAAAAATATCTTATTTCACCTTATTTTACCATAAGTAAAGAATCCTTATATGCACATATGTGTTTATAAATATATATGCGCTGTGCAGTATGTGTGTGTGTGTGTGTGTGTGGTATGAAGAATTTATGAGAAATTTATTGTTATATAATTAAATTAATATTTTTTGTTTAAAATCACGAAATAAATAATCGTAGAAGCAACAAAAAAACATTCCATTACAACGTTATTTAAATAATTTATAATAATTATGTATTAATATTAATTTATATTATTTAATAAAAAAAAAAAAAGAAAATAAATCTTTTTTACGCGTTAGATCTTATAAATTAATATAAAAATTAAATGATAGGATAAACTCGTAAGAATTTAAAGTAATATGTAACGCGCGTAAACGCCATTTTTACGTTTAAAACTTACGTAAATACAGGAATCTCTCCATTCTCGCGATATAAAATATTACCGTGATGTACAATCACTCTCTTTCTCTCTTTCATCTCTCATTTGCAAGATATTATTTATCAGATGATCTATTTAGATCTCTCAGGCGAAAGTTCAGAATAATATTTCGGATGATCGATTATGATGCAACTTGAAGTACCGCGTAACTGGTTTCATCTTCTATTTAACTACACAAAACGATTACCGGTGGTATGATGCAAATGAAAGGTAGATGAAGAAATAGGACCGTAAGTAGTTTAAGTGGAGCAAGAGAAATCAAGGATCATCCTTGATCTTTTTCTTAAGAAATTATCAATACTGTTAGATGATCTAAATGTGATAAATGGACTATTATCTATAACGATCCGAGAAAAGAATAATAATAATCACCATCACCATCATCATCATCATCATCATTATCATCATCATCATTATCATCACTTTTGTAATATATATAGACGATAAAAAATAACATTCCGAATATAATCATCATAAATACTAAACGCGTCGTATGCCGCGCACATTCTTAGAAGATTTATAAATAATATATATGTTAATCTAAACGTATAGTTTAAAAAAAAAAAAAAAACAAAAAAAAGAAATAAATAAAAGTAACAATATCTGACAAAAAGAAAAAATATCCCCCGATTGTGTTTGAAAAGACATAATATGAAATCATGAAGTATTTGTATGCAGATAAAATTAATATAGGGGAAAGTAGGGCAACTCATACCCCCGGGTGAGTGTCGGGTCGTCTTCGTATTTCACAAACACATGTCTCCACCATCTATGTTATGGCATAATTAGCAAGCTTCAAACGAAATGATTACTAGCCACGATGGTTAGAAAAATATTCTAGTAAACTGCATGTTCCCTTAACTTTATTTATGTATTTTATATGTATATATGTATATATTTATTTTTCCTCTTCTTCTTCCTCCTTCTCCTCTTGTTCTTATATTTCTGTATTTTTTTAACTTCTTATTCTTTTGCAATCAAAGTAATTTATATACGTTAATTATTCATCGTTTTAATCATATTACCTAAGGTAGATAAGTAAAACAGCTTATCTTATTTTTAATTTGTTTAAATAAATTACAACAACAACAAAAAAAACCTAAATTAATTTAATTATTTTAAATACTATGATATACGATTTAATTAATTTTATTAATTATTAATTAAATTCAATTACAATTATATTAATAGAGTATAGTATTATGTTAAATATAATTCATAAATAATTATTTATTAATGCTCAAGGTACTCTGAACATTATCAATTCAAAAACACATTTTACAGATTATATAACCGAAACTTAATATAATAAATTATATATTTATTTAATAATAAATAATAATTCTCACTTGTGTGATAAAATAATTTACAAAATTAATGTATTTTTATATTTTTTTCCAATCCTCTTTTATCATATCGCTACCTTTTTCGGCAATCATGATAGTGGGTGCATTAGTATTACCATTAATAATGAAAGGCATTATAGATGCATCAATGACTCTTAAACCCTTTACACCATAAACTCTTAATCTTGGATCTACGACAGCTGTAGAATCTGTTTTTGGTCCCATTTTACAAGTTCCAATTGGATGATATAATGTAAAAGTGTAATGTCTTATAAGACATTCCCAATAATCGTTCGTATTAAAAAGAAATTCTTGACAACCAGGCAATTCTTTGGAATACAATTCTAAACCGGAATTTTTAACTGCACTTGTATTTGACAAAGATAATAGAATATTTATGCCTTCGATGATAACATTAATATCATCCTTATGAGCGAAATAATTTGGATTAATTACGGGATGAGTAAAAGGATCTTTCGTTTTTAAACGAATCCAACCGGTACTTTTTGGTTTTATTAAAGTTGGAAATACCAACAAATTTTCAGTATTCTCTATCACTTTCTGTAGGGTTTCGTAAACGGTATCTTTAAATCCTACATTATTTTTGGTATATTTATTAAAACCATTTGGTTTTGATAACATAATGTGAAACTGAAGATCTGGATAATCAGAGGGATCAGCGTATTTAGTATTAACGAAACCAATTGCATTGACTCCAGCAGTAAAATAACCGTTTTTGTATAACATGTAATTTAAATATGATGTTAATGTTGTTAATTGTTTATTTTCTAAACTAATAGATTCGTTTAATCTTAAAAACAATCCGACAGTGCTAACATGATCCTGAAGATTGTCACCTACACGAAGATCAGATATTACCGGTATATCGTGTTCTTTGAGATGTTCTTTTGGTCCTATTCCTGACAGCATTAACAATTGAGGTGAATTGATTGCCCCAGCCGATAATATTACCTCTTTTCTTGCCATAACTGTTTGTTCCAATCCATCACGAATAAACTGTACTCCCGTAACACGTTTTCTGTCATTAACAAGTATCTTTAATACTTGAGCTTTTAAAGCTATGTGTAAATTAGATCTGTTCTGTGCCGGTCTTAAAAAAGCTTTAGCAGTCGAACAACGTTTCCCATCGCGAACCGTACCCGGCGTGAGCATAAAGCCAGTTTGATTTTCACCATTAATATCATGATTTTTGTAACCTAGTTCTTCACCACCTTGTACAATAGAATCTAAAAGTGGCGACTTATATCGAAATTCGTCTACAGTCAAGTAACCACCTGTTTTGTGATAAGGTGAGTTCTTTAAAGAAGGAATCCTAATATCTTCTGATTTGAGAAAATAAGGAAGAACTTCGTCATAACTCCAGCCAGTGTTACCCAGTTCTGCCCAACCGTCGTAAACTTTTCTAAAATATAATTAATCAGTATTGTTGGTAATAATAAAAATATGTGTAATAATAAAAGAATTGCAGAGAATTGTACGAATGATATTCTTTGTTTTGTTTACTCGATATAGCATATGTAAGTAAAAAGTGGACAGATCAGTTAAATGAAGTTTATAATTACCTATTTCCACGCACATAGACCATGCCATTGATTACGCTGCTACCACCGAGAACTTTTCCACGTGGCCAATTACATTCGCCTTTTTCAATCGCTAGACAATATGCCGATGAATTTGACGGAATAGTTTTATATTGCCAATCTATTTCTGTTAAATGCAGGTCTTCATGAAAACTTGGAACGTCTGTAATCTCGTTTTCATTACCACCAACTTCCAATAACAATACACTCCAATTGGATACCTCAGACAATCTTGACGCAACTACTGCTCCTGCACTTCCACCACCAACAACGATGAAATCGTATGCTCGATTTAACTTAAACATTCATGTTTAAAAATAATGTTATTATTATTTTCTTTTATTCATTTTTAATCTCAATAATTATTTAATTAAATACCTTAGGAATATTTATTGAAGAAAATATAGAATCCTTCTTTTCGATTATTTTGAATAATTTGTCAATGCTTACAAATGGAATAAAACCGATCGCTACAGCGAACATTATAATTAAAGGAATCGGTTCCATTGTAATTTGTATATTTTTTTATTTATTATTTATTATTTTTTTATTATTATTTTATATTATTATTATATTTATATATATAAATACGTATTAATTCATGATCCTTTATCTATTTGTCTAATCTTAAAATATTTGGTATTTTTCAAATTACAGATTCCTTTTTATCAAGAAGCTTTTTTTTTTTTTTAATTACTAATTATTTTACTGATTATTTTCAAAGATATTAATCGAACAAATGTTAAAGAATATTAAATGAATAAACGAATGACTAATTGCAAGATTCGAACGTTGACTAAATTTGTGAATCTTACCTGAATACTAAATGTAATTTACATTTCGAGTTACTTTTATATGTGAAGCAGACAAGAATTGTTGATAATATATGGTAACAGGTGGGGATTGAGAGGTGATTAGTAAACAACAAGTACGAAATTTTATGCTACTTAAAATGTTTCCCGTTCATAAATCTCAAAATTATATGTACATGAAAAATTTCCTCCTAAAGTTCTCACTGAATATAACATTAATATATTTCTTTTTTTTTTTTTTTTTTGACATTATCTTTTACGAATCCATAGAGGAAGAATCTAATTTGTACAAATATTTTTTTTAATTAATTTGATAATATAAATTTATTCACACTTCTTATCACTTTTTTAAAGTCAACTATATATAATTCTTATTTTTAATTATTTATAAATAAATTCAACCTATCCATATTATAATACTAATCGTACTTAAGTTGTTTAATTTTAATTATCGACTGATAATTATTGTAATGTGTAAATATTTGAATCAAATTAAAACGTGTTCTTTTTTTAAAGCTCAATTTTTTTCTTTTAATGACAATATATGCAAACATTATATTTATCATTTCCTAACAATTCATACACTTAACTTAAAATATTTATAAAGCCGAGCATTTGTTTCTAGTATCTACCTGTCTACATAATAAGATAAAGTATAATAAGGTAGTTAATTTTGTTCAGACAGTAATAATGTGATAACTTTGAAAATTGAGACCTAAAACCTTGAAAAATGATTTAAAAAATAGATAAAGTGGGAGAGGGAACACGAATCTTCCAATGACCCAATTGGTTATCAAATTTGTTAAAGATAATACTAGACATTAATTTTTGTAACATGTTACTTTGTACACTTTGGATATCATATCATTATTTTATTGTTTCTTGATAAAGTTGTTTTATGGTATGGGCTAATTAGACCTACATTCAACCCCTACAACCTCTCACAACCTACATTGAACAGGAAGACCAATTCTAATCTGTTGTTCTCGACTGCTTATTCAATGTATTCTTAGCTAACTTCCATTTTTATCTAAGACAAATAGGCCTATTTATTCTTAGATTTTTCTATCCGCAACTTGAGGACGTGCTGTGTCGTGATAACTGGGACCCATCCAGCCTGGGAACCATTAACAAATTAGTTTTCCTTCCTCGAGACTAATAGCTGTTATGCTAACACATATTGTTCTTTTATTATTTTTACTAATTGTTATTTATTTAAGGAAACAAATGACAACTTAATTTTTTTCTTTTTAATTGCATAATCTATTTCAACATTCTTTTACAAAACATTGACTTAGCATAACAAACACCCCTCTCTGCCTTTGACCTCGATAAATCGCTCGTGTATGCGTTTAATGAGTCATAATTGTAGAAATAGATATATTTTATCATTTAAATATGTTTTTAACAGTAATTTATGATAAAGCAAACAAACAACAACAACAACAAAATTAAAGAAATTATGATAAAGCATATTATTAACGTTATTTGATAAAGAAATATATTTAGATTATAATGTCTAAATAAAGATAATAAATAATTAAAAATCAAAATAAAAATTTAAGTTTAAATTAATCGAAAATTTTTATTTAGTATAAAATAAAATAAACGATATAAATTTTCAGTTTAAAAAATAAACAAATTGTCAAAGATTTTTTTGTAAGAAACATTTCAAAATATACAGTTTGAGAAATAAGCAAATATTTTGGTAAAATTTTTTTTAAATTTATGAGTATTTAAAAATATACAGTTTGAAAAGCAAACAACTGTTTTCGTGAAATTTGTTTAAATATTTAAAAAATTTTTAATATTTTACAGACAATACATACAATGTTGCAATTGATTATGTTAATTTTAATATAAGATGAGTGTACAAAATACAATATTTTAATTAATATCTCATTTGTCTTAATCAATAGCAAGATGTGTTGCTAAAAATTCGTCTATGGAATCTGTATCCCATTTATGTATATCAAGAACATCTTCTACTTTGTTATCAGCATCTAATAATTTAATAATTGGATCCAAACCTCTTACATATCTTATTTGTAAATTTTTATATTTACTTGGTCGATCACTCTTTATAAATGCTAAAAAGATTAAACATTTTATAAGTAGTATTTATAATAGTATTATTTATAAATATCTTCTTATATTATTTCTTTTTATAAATGTTACCATATGTGCATATATGTTAATAAAATAAATATTGAATACCTTGTATTTGTGGATATGCACCAAATTTGCATGTGCAAACCTTAAGAATTGCTTTTGGGTATCGTTTAAAACCAGATGCATCGTAGTCGTCATCCTTCAAACAGCATTCTTTACATTTGTCACTGATGTTTCAATAATATATTTATTGAATTATTAATTTATTGAAAATAATGTGGATTAATCAAATTATGTTATAATTTTCATTATACTTACTAAATTTCTGGTACATTATATTTATTAAATTTATCGCAAGTTGAACATAACAGATTAGCCTTATTAAATCCTAATTTCTTACAATCGTCTGCAGAAAATTCTCCATTAATGATGTTTACCTATTTAATAAAAATATAGAATTTTTTTAATGTAAGAAGTATTATAAATAAATTATAATGCACAGTAATGATTAAAAACGTCAAAATACTTCACTATTATGAAATAAAGGTTATGTGACAATAATTTATAATTACCATTAAACTAAGTAGATATATATATAAAACTGTTTGAATATACATAATTTATAATTTTATCTTTTTAATTAGAGATTAATATAAAAATAACAATTATTTCACGTAAATGTATTTAAATGTATTATAATATCAAGATAATCTAACTTCATAGGTTATACGTATGTACACAGTCACTACACGAACGATATCATCCTCTGACTGACAGCTGATTTTTTTTCATTATGCGCATGCGCGAATTTATACGCATGCGTAAATTCATACGCATGCGCAAATTCTTTTTGACTAAGAGGGAGTTGCATATACTAAATCACTACGAATAATAACCTCACGATTATTAATGACACGTAGTGATTTTTAATATGCAAGTGAATAAAAAGAATGAACGACAAGATAGATTAAATTTGTTATTTTAAATTATAATCCAACTCCTATTCATAACTACAAAGTTAAATATATTTTAAATAAACTAAACTAAATTTATATTGATTTGTGAATATACATATATATTTTATAAACTTATTATTAAGTTAATATTATTTCAACAATTACTCTTGATCTATTTCTTGCAAATGATCTAGCTTTATTTTTGTCGCAGGACAAATGTTCTGTGGAATTCTACTCTTTTTAGCTTTCTTCATTGGTTTTTGTCCAACTACGTATTCTGGCAAAATAAGTTTGCTATTTCTATATGTTAATTGTTTTCCATCATAATTTTCAATCACAGTTGTGTTTTCTGATTTTGTTAATTCACTTTTTGGTTTATTAAATTTTATTATAGAAGTAGACGATCCAGCTTGTTGCGATTGAAATGTTATTTTTTTACTTTTATTTTCATTTGATACCGTTTCATCAACATCCATTTTATTATCCAATTTAGCTTCTTGCATTTTACGTTCTCTTAATTCTTTTAAAAATGATAACGCAGTATGGGTATTACTTTGATCTGTCATATCTTCATTAGATACATCGTCCAAAGTGTATTTAGTCCATTTATGAGGATTTTTATGATAGTCTGGTATAGTTCTGTTAATTGAAGAACGTGGAGCAGGTCCTTCTGGTCGCTTAAAAATACTTATTTTTCCTCGAAATTTAAGTGTCTCGGCACTTCTTTTTCTATTATTTCGAATTTGTGGTGAATTATAAATTGCTCTTGGCTGAACATCTACTTCCATAAGATCAGAAGATACATCTTCTCTACGTCTATTATATTCTTTTTCTAAAATAGACAATTGATCTACCATTGCTTTCATTTTGTTTGAAAAAGCAGCTGAATTACAATTTTCATTTACATTTGGGGAATATAATTCGTTATTAGGTATTAGCTGCATTTTTCTAAAAAGGAAATATGGAATATTAACAAACGCATATAAAAGCAAATATTCTTAAATATGTTCAAAATAAAATCAACACACTCTATATAACTATACTTGATTGATAAATTATAAATAATACATACCTTATTTAATATTCAATTAATATTAATTCAACGACGTAATATTGGTTCAGGTAGAAGTAAACACTTGCATAAAGGTTATGTGTGGAATATATCTGACATAAACGTCATCGGGCGATTTTTATTTTTTTTACAACAAAGCAAAGAATGCAGATGTGTATAGATACTTACAAGTCCTCTTTATTCCTAATAAGATTCATATTAATGAATACCCTGACCACCAGTGGGCGATAGTAGTTAATGCGATCATAGCGCTATGTACTTACTATCGTCTTTTGGTGGTTATGTTAGTAACTGAAACGAATGTGTTTCTCAAAAAGTTTACTTCTGAGCTCCTATGTACTTCTGTATTCTTTTTTAGGATAATATGGCCAGCGTATTGATTAGTAATTTTAATCGCCACAAGTAGCGCTCTTTTAGCTCGTGTTGTATCATGAGATAATATAAACAGTTTACGACATTCGTAAATTTTAAATAAATTATTCTGTAATATAAATGGAAGGAGTTCTTTACATAATATCAAGTAAAATACGAATTTACAATGAGTGCACACATTAATACAAACACTGGTACGTAATACTGTGATTTTATTTATCGTTTTTAAATATATAAATATATATATATATTGTTACACAGTCGTGTTTTTTTTTATTCTGCTTTCAAGTATTTTACTAATTCATTGTATTTCTCAAGTAATCGTATTAAAAATTGTATTTTAATCTTTTTTTCATACTTTGTAAATGCAATTAAATTATTTAAATGCTATTTTTGTACATTGTCTCAACTTTTATTAATTTTCGATTTTAGTTCTTTTTTCTTTTTTATATAATTTAAAACTCAATTCATGAAAAGCTGACGTGGCTAATAATGTTAATTATTATTATTATATATTGTTTTAAATATTAAGTATCATGAAATTTGTACTTTAAAATATGTTATGTCATTTTTGATAGAATTGTCTTATTTTCACAGTAGTGTCAAGAAAAATGAATGAAGAACCTTCAACAAGACGTGCTATATTAACAGTTACTTTGGTATTTGTTGCATCACTAACTGCTCTTTCTTATGTCTATATGAGCTTTCCAGAATTAGCAGAGTATGAAACATTTTTTTTTACATTGTAATTGTTATGTTTACCTTTAAGATTAATATTAAATTATTTTTCAGGGAAGAGAAGCAATATATGAAATTACCATTTCATATAGAGGATGCACAAAATCTTGGAAAGTTACTAGGAAGATACAAGGATCGCTATTATTTTGAAGTATTGACAGGACTATTCATTACTTATATATTGTATCCTTTGTCTATTTATATATATTTATAATTCATAGTCAATATTTATCATATTTTTTTCCTTACATATACGTATTATAGTTTGCAAACGTTTGCAATTCCTGGATCGATTTTTCTGTCGATATTGTCTGGATTCTTATTCCCATTTCCTATTGCACTTTTATTAGTATGCTCATGCAGCGCAGTTGGTGCAACGCTTTGTTATCTTTTATCATCATTATTAGGAAGAAAGTTATTATATAAATATTTCCCAGACAAAGCTAATGAATGGACAGTGATGGTAGCTAAGCACAGTGATAATCTGTTAAATTATATGCTATTTCTTCGAATGACACCATTCCTGCCTAATTGGTTTATAAATTTAGCTAGTCCTGTAATAGGAGTCCCTGTAGTACCTTTTACGGTGGGCACATTTTTTGGTGTTGCACCACCATCATTTGTAGCGATACAAGCAGGACAAACATTACATAAATTAACGTCATCTAGTGATGCATGGTCCTGGAATAGTATGATCATATTATGTATCTTTGCATTGCTTTCTTTAGTACCTGTCTTATATAAACAAAAGCTCAAAGAAAAGTTTCAATAAATTGTAAGGACAATCGTTCACATCTTGACATTCCCCAGGTCTATTCATTGGAGATGCATTTTATGTTCCTATTTAGGAATATATTATGTTAATAAAATAATTATTGAAAAATTTGAGTATAATATATAATTATTATTATTTAAGAGGATATATTTTTTATCCTTTTCTATATTTAATCGCTTTCAAACTTATTCTGTTAATAAAGAGAATTTATTTTTGTTTCGATGCAGATGATATATTAATTTCACTTTAAATTATACATATCTTTTAGTTTGTAATTGCATATTAGGCAAAATTATAACATTTAATGATTTGTATAAATATGTCTAGCTGGCACATTGGTCTGCTGTGTTCCTTAAATCTGTTATAAATCTTATCTTGTAACAATTTGTAATTTCCTATTAAATACTTGCATGTTGTCTTTTTTTTTCATTATATTTATATAAATTATAATATATGTAAATAATTATTAAAAATGTAAGACACACAAACAAGGTCTCATATATACAGAAGTATATACTATTATCCAAAATAAAATAAATTATGATAATACAAAATATAAAATTATTTATTATATAAACTTTGTTAGAAGTTTATATTGCACATGTATTATATCTTTAATTGAAATATTATGCTAACAAAATGAAGTAAGATAACTTATAGAAATAGTACTTGAATTAGGAACTGGTAAACTGATTGGATGCCAATACCACCAATTATACCACACTAAAATAACAATAAAAATAAGTTAATCGTTTTCTTTATATATAAACCATAAATGTAAAAAAATGAAACATACATGTGTTCCCCTTGGAAAGAAGAATCGTAAAAGTTGAACAACTTTGTTGACACTCTAAACTTGGCATCATTCTTATTAATCTTGCTCCATCGGTTAATCTTAATATTACATTACTGCATTCAGATCTAGGCTGAAATAAATTTCATTAAATTTCTTATCTGCATAATTGATTATTTTATGTTATTATTAATTTAATACCAATGAATAAAGCGGAGAGTTTGCTTCATCAATAAATACAAATTTCTCTGTACTTTGTCCCCACCAATTAGGAGTATCCGTAGGTTTTGGAAACAATTTCCGTATAATCCTTCCAGGTTTCATACGATTTACTCTCCATGTTATATGAGTCGTAAGAAATTCAGAAGGATAATTATCCAATCTTTTATTCATAACATCATGAATAGTGCTATATAATAAGTACTATATTTTAATTATTTATAAGATAATAATCAAATCAAACACACAGCAATAAAAATATAAATAACTTACGAATATGCTTCATTATTAGAACGTACTCTATTAGCATCTTCTTTAAAAGTTTCATTATTATACAAATACATTTCATACAAATCTTGCATATTAACAGTCATATTATTTTCTGTTTTTGTATAAGGAATGCCAATATTAAAATTTTTAGATATATTATGATTTGTTAAATCTGCCATAGAATGAATGATACTACATGGCCAACAATTCATATCATAAATATAAAAATATGGATTTTCAACTAAACACCATTCATCGTAAAACTCTATATAAGCCAAAAAAAAAAAGATATAAATAAAGATATAATATTTTAATAATATACATTAAATATATAATATGTATAATTTATTTATTTACATTACCTGACAATGGTGGATATTGTTCTATAATTGGCAAAGCTATTTTACGTAGAATAGTAAAGCCAGGATAAATAGAACTTTGCAAATTTCTTAATATTACAGTATTATAAAAAGGATGATTATATAGGCCAATAAAAATAATTAATAATGCACATATAAATGTTGTAACATATGTTAATAATTTTGTAATACTCCAAGTTTTTTTATTATATTTTATCTCAAGCGTTTGAAAACACTTGTTAAAAATCTCAGTTATTTGTAATTCTGATATATTATAATCAGAAGCATATAATTTAATATATCGTATTCCTTCTCTGTATTCATCTAAATCGGCCATTCTTTATATAGAAATTGTTTTCATATTTTAATAAACGTTAAAACACATTAGAAATTAAAATTAAAGGTTATATTAAAAGTAACGATTGTGTTTTTCTATTTAACTGATGTTATTTAAACGAAGGTAACTTTAATTCTTAGCTACATTCACTTTTAAAAACAATTGGCATTTAATATAGAATTAAATATAAAAAAAAACATTAAATTTTAAAACTATTTTTATAAATATATTAAATGCATTATTATATATATATATACATATGTATATACATAAACTAAATCTGTAGAAAGATCAAGGTCATAGGTTGAACTTGTCTCAAATCAAACGGTACAATTCTTTCACTTTTATCGTATTTCAAAATGTACAAATAAATTGGATATTTTTTGGCGGGCCAAATAGCAGCCAATAAAAATTAATCATTCAAATTTGATCGCAATAATCGTAATAAAAAAAACCGCGTCAATGTTCGGACGATATTGACAAGTGATGGACGTGTTTCCGATACATTGAATGAACGAATTCTTAAGTAGGAACATGCTCTCGTTAGCACTTGATACTTTGTTAAGAAGAAAATGTTATATATTTTTTAAGATTAATATAAAAGAAAGTTATTGCGACGTACGGTGAAATAATTATACGAAAAAATAAATCTATTTCTATGTATATTTATATGTATATTAGTTTTATACTTAGTATAAATCTAATAAGCATTAATAAATATATACACATATGCACACGAATTTAAAGGTTAGAATCTGTGCTCTCAGGATAGAACACTATGAAGACATTCTCTGCTGAATTTGGAGTGAATGGCGAAAGTGTTTACGAGTATCAACGTTTACATCTGTTTATGGTGAATAAAAATATTACGTGCATATCAAATGCTCGAATTTTTGTTCCTACTTTTAAAATTAATCGAACATATTTGACAGTGTATTGTGAACATATTGAAAATGCATAAAAAATTAAGAGAAATAATAATTATTGATAACAATATTAAAATAGATGCACTTATGATGCTTCCATATATTCATTAATTAAACATTTCTCCAATATTGTGTCTGTACATTTGTATTGAATGATTATAATAGAATGACTAATAACATTGAAATATTCTTTAATGGAACACAAAGAAAAATGAATGTAAAAGTGAAGGAATATAGAATTGTTAATATTCAATATTTCTTAATGAATGATCATAGTCAATGAATATAGTACAATGTGTAATATACATACAGTAATATCTCATGTGAGTTTTTAATTATTAAATTTAACCTATACACATATCATGTGTTGATTAATAATTGAACTATATTTTTCAGATGTCTTTATATATCTATCCAAAGTTTATTGTCAAAATTAATATTATGTTATATTATTAATATTATTGAATCAAATGAGCATTATATTGACAGACAAATTTTATCTAATGTTGTATTATCAAAGTATAATTGTATACCAATGCTCAATATAGTAAAGAATTTATTTATTATTAAACAATGTCAGTTCCCTCTTGTTCGACATACACAGACTTGCATATCCCGAAAAGTAAAGAAGAAAAAATATATGCCAAGTGGGAACGTTTCACTAATTGGGTACATTGTATATGTATCGTTACTTTTGATCTTGAATTAGGCCAAGCTATAGAGGTAATAACATATTAAATTTAATGTATCATTGTTTATATTGTTTTCTTTAATTAAAATATATTTTTTAAATAGGCGGTTTATCCAAATCATGTACAACTGTCTGAACAAGAAAGATCTAATGTATGTTACTTAGCGTTTCCTGATTCTAACTCTGGTTGTATGGGAGATACCCAATATCATGTAAGATTAAGGCAAAATGGAAATATGATTCAAGACACACCAGCTTTACTAGAGTATAATAGAAAATCACCTTCTTTTCTCCAATGTGATAAGGATTACTATTGGGGCTATGTATATTTTCGTCAAGTTAAAGATAAATCTTTACCAAGAGGATACTTCCAAAAAGTAAGAAATGTTTTAGTAAATATGCATACATATATATTTATATAGTTGTGTATATTATTTTCAGAGTATTGTCATCATCACTAAACTGCCATTTGTCAACTTATTTTGTGAATTGTGTGCTTTGATAGCACCTGAATTTTTTGATCGTGGTAATGCAGTCATGGAAGCAGTTGTACGAGAAATAGATCGTTGGCCACTTCCTGGTCCAGGTCAAATTGTCCACTTACCTCTTATGGGTGTTTTATTTCAGGTTTGTGTTCTTATATTAATATTTATTTCAAATTTATTTGGTATTAAATATTGTTAGTTATATATCACATCTTGTTAATTTCAGACATACATTCCAAATCAAAATTACAAGGCTGCTGTGCCATGTATTGCAGCAATGGATCATGCACCAAATGTCAATGCAACACGAAGATTAATTTTAACATCTGCATATGAAGGCGATATGTTCAAAACATTATCTAGTGTAGTGAGTCATATACATTTGTTATGGGAGTTAGTATTAGTTAGTGAACCTATCGTAGTAATGGCTTCTTCACCGACTACATGTTCAGAAATGGTTCAAGCACTTATTGCGTAAGTAAATAGTTACAAACTAACGATCATCCTGTTAAAACTATGAGAATTATTAATGGTTTGTTTTATTAGTATGATATCACCATTGAAATACTGTGCCGATCATCGTCCATATTTCACGATTCATGATTCTGAATTTAAAGAGTATACTTCGGATGCTCCTACTCCACCTGCTGTAATACTAGGTGTTACAAATCCATTTTTTGCCAAAACTCTGCAACATTGGCCTCACATCATTAGGATAAGTAATGGTGGAACTAGTGGTAAGTTGTTGATACACGAATTTATAATATTATTATATATTTTATTTTATTTTATATACATTAATTACATATTTCAGAAACTCAAAAATATAGGATCAAAAAATCTGAGAATCTCAAAGTATTAGATTCAAAGCCGGGTGTTTATACACAATACAAATCTTTTCTGCAAAAAGATAAAGCAATATTAAAAAAACTTTTGAGAGGTATTCAAACAAAAAGACCAGGTGAAGCACAAACGGCTCTTTTGAAACGTCATTTGATGGAATTGACTGAAAGTTTTATGATTCCTTTAGAAAGATATATTGCAAGTCTTATGCCTTTACAAAAGGACATATCACCCTTCAAAGTAATAATAATTTTCTCAATTAATATACAAATCATTAGTTTTAATATTGATAATAGAAATAAGTTAACACACTGATATTTTTTTATCTTAGGCAACACCAATACCACAATTATTTAATCAGGATGACTTTTTAGCTACATTAAGTAGTTTGGGACCTCAATTAACTACCGGTATAAAGGGAGATTGGGTAGGATTATACAAACGATTTTTTAGATCACCTAATTTTTCGGGCTGGTTTCATAGCAGATACACAGAACTAGCTCAGAAATTACAAGTGATACAATTGGAAGCATTATCGCAAGCAGTATGTATCTTTATTGTTCTATTTTCTATTCCAGTAGTTTGTATATTTATTAAATTCTGTTATAATGCATAGGATTTGAAAACATGGGTACAAGGAAAGCAAGAAGTAGAAGTTGTGGATATGATCCTTAGAATTAGACAGAAATTAGAAAAGAGTTGCATTAATGATATATCGATTGATGATACAATCAGAAAGAAACTCCAAGATAGAATAAATGACATTACACATACATTGCCAGATGATTTACAAGTTATTTTAAGCCATGAGTCTTGACAGTACGATTATATTATTAATTTTAAAACTCGTTAATAATACTATTTACTGCTATTAGTTGAATTGGGAATCAACATTATATGCCAATGTCGGTGTAAATTCATAAGCAAAATTAAGCTTCCAAGGAATGAAGCTTTTAGATTTTTAAATATTGATGATTATGACATAAAAAAAAGAAACGTGAATCGTATACATATGACAGACATAAATTGAAATGCTCTGACTGAATTTGTGCTAGAATTTTAAATAGGTTTTAATTATGCTTTTTTCTTGGATGTAAGTGTGTATATATATATATATATATATATATATATATATAATACTCTTTAAAAGTATTTATAAAAAATGAATTATATAGGATTATTACTTAGTTTATATATAAGGTAAAAAAAGAACTGTCTTTAAAATGTTTGAAACTTTTTAAGTAACTTTCACTTTTACATATAATATTTTTTAATTCATAATAAGTTTTATACGTTTTACTTAAGACATTTTCTTTTTAGTTAGAAAAATTCATATTTCTTTGATCTTTAAGATTTGTATAAGCTCATTTTATTATTATTTTCTTACAATATTAATAATCTTTCATTCGAATCAGATCTAATCCTCGTATTTTCATTTTTTATTTTATTTTAGATATAAAATACTCTAATTAAGTATTAAGAATCTCTCCTAATAAATATGTATACGTGCATTTGAAATTTACTTAATTATAATAGAGCAAAAATAAGATCTATTGAATTTGAAACAAGAATTGTAAATATTAATGAATATTAAGAATGGAATAAAAATTTATTTTAGTAATATTGCTGCTTTATTATTATACAGGATTTATAATAGAGATGACAATCCTTAGATATAAGAGCAATATATTTTTTCATATATATTAAATTTAATAGAATATATAAAAATTCTAGAATAACATTATATTCATAATTGTCGTATTTTTGAACGTAAGTTAAAACAATTATTAATTTAACGCAATCAACAAGCATAAAATGAAAAATAAATATTTTGATTTTATTTGCTTTACAGATACACATACTACTGTACATATTACGTGATCTAGAAATAGAGAATGTACAATTACAATATATATATATTGGTTTCACACATAAAAATAAAATTTGTTAGTTAACTCTAACGAGTTTGGTGTGTTTATTCAGTTTGTTCGTTCCAATTATGCATTGCTCGTTAAATTCGTTTATATTATATTTAATTACGTCTGTATGTAAAAATGTAGAATATCTTAATGATTAAGGATAATGTTAGCTGTAGTAGATGGACTTAAAATTTCAATTAAATAACCATCTGGATCTTTGATAAAAGCAATGCCTTTCATTTTACCATCGTTAGGTCTTTTTGCAAACTCAACATTAAGCTTTTCGAATCTTTCACATGCTTGATCTACATCAGGTACTGCAATACCAATATGACCTGTATATAACAAATGAAAATATTAATATTATTATACACATTATTTTGTTAAATACTGTTATTAATGTTTACAGGTATACAAAAACAATTTAATTAAAAATATGTTCTCACCGAATCCTCTAGGATCTGAATTTCCATTATGATACTTCGCATCTGGATCCATTTCTGTACCCCAATTACTAATACAAAATAATTGATTAAGAATAATATTAAATACCAATTAATATTTACACTTACTGATTACACTACATACTGGGTCAATTCGATGGTAGCTTTTCTAGAGAAAGTCCATTCGATATTTTCTCTTCTGTCCGTTGGTATATCCTTAGGATTTTCATAACCAAGGAAATAAAGAGAAAATTTCATTTCCGGAAAGTCAAGCTTTTGTAACAAGTGCATTCCAAGAACCTCTGTATAGAAAGGTAATGATTTTCTAGGATCTTTAATACGATACATTGTTTGTTGCATAATATAATCATTTGTAGCTGGGTCTGCTTCCTTACAAAGCTCACGAGCTTCGCTGTTAGTCAATCCTGAAGGTTCACCCATCTAAAATAATTGTTCATAAAGCAATTAATAATTTCATTCTTTTATATTTATCAAAAATTTGTTAGTATTAGTCGATTATCTTATAGATATACTATCATTATCATTCAAGGTCATAATACATTGGATAAAGTCTTTTAAAATGATATATAAAATATATGTTATAAAAATTCGAATGATTATACATTATAATTATTAAATATAATGATTTAATTATTAGACATTACTTTTTTAATAGAAATTATTTGGAAAGTATCATGTTTTGGTATTATAGTGAAGGTTAGTTACGCATCTGTCTAGATTTATTATTAAATTATCACAATTCATATAACAGCTTTATCTTGTAAAAAGCTTGTGTCATCTAAAGAAAAAAGGAAAAAACGGTGTCTTATTTCTTCCTTACCTTTTCTACAATCGTATAAAAATATAAACGAGTATGGTTCACTAACGTAACGGAAGTTGCGCGTATGATTGAGGATTCACGTTGTATCGTAATAGTTACGAGGAGTATCTTTCATTAACCTGTGGCTATACCGTCTACTCCATTTATCTTATCTGTCAAAATTGACAAATCGAGTAAAGTTAATCTTGTCTAATTAATTTGTTAATTATTAAGTGTGTGTTACATCAAAAATGGCACATTGGTTTCATCGTAATAACTTAAAGGCAACAACAACTCAAAAATTTGAATTTAAAGTTAAAAATTCTACTGACGCTATTAAGAAACTTTGTAGGTTAGTATATTGAAAGTAAATATTCAATGTGTATTACATATATTAATTTATTTATCAAATTAAATTATAATCATTTTTCTTTTATACGTTTCAGTGACTTAAGATTATCTAGAAATCGTCTTCTGGATTTAATAAGAAATGCTAACAATACAAGTGATTCCATCGAACCAGCCTTCTTAAGTTATTTAAGTTTGTTGTACGGATTTATTTGGGAAATATGTACTTCTGAGGAACATGTTGGAAGGCCCAATCTTAGTAAACTCAGGAACATTCTTGTATTCAAATGGACCCATACGTTACTCGGAACACATACCTAGTAATGCAATTATCAATAAACTAAATTAAGAAGATATATTTATTTGCAATCATTGTAAAAGTGTATATTTTTCTTTATAGCTCTTGCTCCGATTCAGTTTATGAAGCAGCTAACATGAGCATTAATGTGGGCCTTTGGTATATGAAACATGCTGCAATGATTGCTGCTAAGGATGAGTAAGTTTTTATATCAGAGAAATAATATATAGTTTTTAAACATTTTTTTGTCACGATATAGCATAACAATGGACGAGGCAAAAAATGTCCATAGTATGTTAAGACGTGCTGCAGGTATATTTACATTTGTACAAACTGAATTTCTACCTCAACTGGCTAGTCCTCCACCTTTAGGAAGTGATTTAGATCCACGTCTAATAAATACATATGTAAATCAATGTACTGCAGAAGCACAAGAAGGTTTAATTAAGTCTTTATAGTTTATATATATATATATATTTTGTTGTTAAACATTTATTAAATTATTGTATTAATTATATTTCAGTAACAGTGGCAAGAGCAATGGAGTTAAAACATAATGCAAGTTTAATATCAGCACTAGCAAATGAAACAAGTAAATTATTCTTAGATGCTGCTAACACGTTGCGTCCTTTTAAACCAGAAATATCTGCTCAATGGATTAAATACTTAGAACTAAAAGCAGCATTTTATCAATCTTATGTAAGATATATACCATATATATACCATAAAATATATCAATTTTAAATACATAAGCATATCTGATTTAAACATGTGCCGTATAGGCATATAATTACTGCGGCGTTAATTTATTGTCTATGGATAAATGTGGAGAAGCAATTAGAGCATTACAAGAGAGTGATAGTTGCCTTAAGAAAGCAAAAATATTATGTCAAGAATATGGGAAAACAAATGGTCCTGCACCTCGTGTAAAACCTGATCAACATACTGTTTTTAAAAAATTGGCTCCAACAGTAAAACTCACATTAGATAAATGTAATAGAGAAAATGGTCTTATGTAAGTATATTTTGAATAATCATTTTTGCAATAAATATAATTATTTCTAAAGTTAATAATATAATTAAACACACAACTATTTAGATACCATGATACAATACCAGGAGAAATACCATCTTTAGATACTAAGGCTACTTTTGGTCTTGTCAGTCCTATTGATTTTCAAATGCCTCCCCCTAATTCTATATGGAATTTAGATGTTTATAAAGTATTAGTTGGAGTTACTCCAGCTAGAACAGAAAAAGAACAGGATTTACCTCCTGTTAAAGAAGAAACTGTTCATCAAAGTAGTAAGGAACCAAAAAATGAAAGTGGATGTGTACTACAATAAATGTTTTAATACACAGGGTAATTGTGTAAATACTTCGCAAGCGTTTTAAATATAACACATGCTTTTTTTATATTTATACTGACATCGATTGCAAGTCGCTATAACGCTTACAAAGATTGCATTTCGAGTGAAACTAATAGAAACATAAATATAGATATTTAGTTGCATTTAGTCTTTTCAATGATGTTTCAATATAATTAGTTTCCAGTACACGTATACTTGATTACTAAATATATAAAATGTGACACAAAAAATATTATTTCACTTTTCAATAATATACAGTGATAGATTTAATCATACATGAAATCAAGCTTTTATATGTAGTGTGATCGTATTATCATTGAAAGTGAAAAACTGTATTATTAATGTTGATAATATTGTTATTTTAATTATACTTGTTTCTGCTTAAGTATCACTTAAGTTATTATGAACTGATTTAGCTGTGATTTGAGATACGCACATACAAAATTGGAGCTAGTCGATTTTTATATAAATAGGGTTTCTACACCTATAATTATGTTCAAAAGTATAATGAAAGTTAATAATGTATTGTACACGTTCCATCGACGATTAATGATTTTATTTAGATATTTTTTAATAGAAAACTATTTTTGAAAAAGAACATTTAAATCATGTTATGTAAGCTGTACATAAAACAGAATTTAAATATTATTTACTATTCAGTTTTAAATAAGTAATGCACGAAAAAAATATGTTATGTAGGAAAATTATATGTTATACAGCTATAAGTTGATAAGCTTTCTTGTATAAACTTATAGATAATACAAGCTAAGCTATGTTTCCTTGCAGTTTAATTATAACACTCTAGTTTATTCTATTTTACTTTTTTTTTTTTTAACTTATTTATAATTTGATTATAAAAAGAAAAATAATTATTTTCACAGAATATTAAAATGTGAATTCATCGTGGAAGTTATTTTCTTGTGATAAAAAATGGTAACATATTGTAAGATTATAATTTACTATTAGATTAATTTATCTATTTGTGTTAAATATAGTGACAAAATTACCTTTCAGAAGATAAGAAATAATTTCTTATTTAAGTATTATGTATTGTATATCTCTCTCTCTATATATATATATATTTATAAAATATTTTTAACAAAATAAAGATAAAGCAATGCTAAGAAGAAATAATTGTATATTAAATAAAACAATATTTCATTTATTTAATGAATTTTTATTTATAATTCAAATCAAAGAGAGAAAGTTAGAGAGAGATATCGATAGATAGAAAAAGAAAATATATATCGATATATTACATCATCGATTGTTAGTCTTTCTAACCTAACCTAAATGGTATGAAGTACGTCACAGTGATATCGAGTTATTACTTTGGTCAGTCTGCTGCCACGCGCTTCGATGTGTACAAGTGGAAATATCGTACAGGAGAATGTAAAGTTTCATTTAATAAGCATAATTAATTTCACTTTCTACTGCAGTGTCAGTAACTGTGAAATAAAACTTAAGAAAAAAAAGAAAAGAAAAGAAAAATAATAAAGGAAGTACGAAAAGACAAAAAAAAAAAGAAAATACAATAATATCAATTATATTTATGAAAAAGATTACAATATTGTATATTCAAGTTAATCGTGTACTCTTACAAAAAGTGCAGTGAAAGTATTTTGTGTCTTTGACCTGATTTCCTTCTTTTTTTTTTTTCCTTCATTCATTTGATTATGGTATACCACTGATATATACATTCCTGGAAGAAAATATAATATTCTATCTTTTTAAAGTATTATATTATTTTGATAACGCTCGTGCCTAAATTAAAAATTTTATCATAATGAATAAAGAGGCATCTGACGTAATCCGTGTGGGATCTCGAAAGAGCGAGGTATGTGCCGTAAAATATTTTTATATAATTGATAAACGAGAACAAATAGAACATATTTTCATAAACTCACTGTTACGTGAGCTCAAATTATACTAATTTTAAATATCATTAAGATAAACTCTTATCAGTGGTCAGTTTATCTTTCATATGTTTTGTTTTATTATTTAAAATTGAGATCTATTCGTTATTTTGTTTCTATTCTTTACATTTAAATGAAATTTAATTTACAAAAATTTAAAGATTAAAAATAGAATCAAGAAAAAAAAATATATATATATATATATATATTTATATGTATAGAATTTTTTCAAAAATTTAATAACATCTTGTGAATATCTTATTTCTTATGTTATCATAAGTGGTAGTATAAATTATCATTTTATCACATTCATGCTTACTCAGCAATTTCTAAGATATTAATTATTTATTGATGACAGAATGAATTAATTATAAAAATATATTGTCACAATAAAATTTTTTTCGTTTTACAATTCAAGTTTTTCTTATTCATTAGATACATATATATATATATTTTTTTTTTACATAACATGATTTATGAACAAGTCATTAAATTTTATTACTTACTAATTACACTTATTTTTCTTTTTTTAATGTTTTTAGTTAGCGCTTATTCAAACTAGATATGTAATAGATTCTTTGAAGGAAATTTATCCAAAAAAGGAATTTGAAATAGGTAAGAAAAGAAATATTATTTATATAATTTAAATATATAGGAATTATTTTGATAAAAAAAAAAAAAAATAGATAAGATTAGTCTTTAAATACAAATTAAATCATCATTAACGATCATAATGGTATATTGATAGATTATTAAGAAACTTTTAGTATATTATATAACACTTGAAACATTCAAAGAAAATATAGCTCTGTTCCGTATTTAGTAACATATATGTGTTGTGTCTGTATATATATATATATATGCAATGAAACTAAATTTTCATTTATATGTCTTTTATGTTTTTAGTAACAATGAATACAAAGGGAGATAAAATATTAGATAAATCGTTGCCCAAAATTGGAGAGAAATCTTTATTCACAGAAGAATTAGAATTGGCTTTAGAATCTGGTCGTGTTGACTTTTTAGTACATTCATTAAAAGATTTACCTACAATACTGCCACAAGGAATGGTGTTAGGTGCAATATTGAAGTAAGTAGTTGCTGAGTGATCATTCTTTTGATTACAGTTAATATCTTTTTCTTAAAAGAGTACTTTCATAACTCAAGGACATATATATAACTCAAGGACATATATAAAGAATATTTTATTATATTATATGATCCACTTTTTGTATATACACATATAAGAATCTTGATTTTTGTTGTTGTGGTACATCTGTATATGTTTAATTCATGTTACATTTAAAATTAAAATGTATTCCTTGAAATAAACATCACCCCTGATATCAATTCAGAATCTGTTCTGAATGTTCGATTTGAAATTGATGATATTGTTTAATGTTTATTTCATTGCGAAATAGTCTTGAAAAAATAAGAATTTCTTTTTTTAGACGTGAAGATCCACGTGATGCAGTTGTAATGTCAAAGAAATATAAAGACAAAACGTTATCTACATTGCCAAAAGGGAGTGTAATAGGTACTAGTTCATTAAGAAGATCAGCTCAATTAGCTCGAAATATGCCGCATTTAACTGTACAAAGTATACGTGGTAATTTAAATACTAGGTTAAAAAAATTAGATGACGAGGAAAGTCCATTTGCTGCAATAATATTAGCCGTTGCTGGTTTGAAAAGAATGGGATGGAATGATAGAATAAGTCAGGTAATATTTTTATATAATAATTACTTTCAATGTGAATATATATATATATTAAATATGTAATTGTATTTATTTATAGATATTAGAACCAGAAGAAGCATTGTATGCTGTTGGTCAAGGAGCCTTGGGAGTAGAGTGCAGAGAATCTGATTGGAAAATACTTTCTCTTTTAGAACCTTTACATGATGTAGATACAGCATTGAGATGTGTATGTGAACGATCTTTCTTAAAGACACTTGGTGGTGGATGTTCTGCTCCAGTTGCAGTTTCTTCTACTTTAACTGAAAAAGATTTAGTTATTACTGGAGCAGTTTGGTCTCTTGATGGTCAAACTGTAATAAAAGATACAGCAAAAAGTGAACTTTATATACCGGATGATGATGCAGAACCTCCAAAGTAAGCATTTCTAATTACTATATACAATATTTAATGTTTTTTATTATGTCTATAATAGATATTATTTATATTATTTTTGATGTTAAATAGGAAATGTCAATATAGAGAACCTCGTTTGTATACTGGTGTAGTACCGGGTAATATAAGTAGCCTAAGTCTCTTATGTGCTGAACAACTTGGCAAAAATATTGCCGCAAAACTAATAGCTAAAAATGCTTTGGAAGTAATGTTTAAGGCTAGAAACGAAATTTTAAATTCGGAATGATAAACAATATAAACTGTAGGAGTTATTGTTCCTTGTTCCTTAAAATAATGTTTTAAGGAATGATAGTGTTATTAAAAATACAATCTTTTTTTATTATCTTTTTTTTCCCCCCCTCTAGAAATAATTAACAATTAATTCAATTTTTACGTCTTCGTTTTTCCAATTAAGAAAAAAAAAAAAGTTCTTCATATTATAATTATTTATATATACATCAAATATTTAGGAAGAAGTATACAGAAATTTAATCTAATTATAATTAATTATATAATAGAATTATTCAATAATTGATATTGTAAATAAAAACTTTATTTAATTATTTTTGTGTAATCTGCAGATTTATTATCAATGTTATTATATATATAATATATAATATATAATATATAAATGACTGAAATTTGTATAGAATTTTAAATATATTTCATTCTATCCGTTAAATTCATCAATTCAGATTTTGATTCATTAATTGTGATTTTATACTTTTTAATAAAATTGAATATATGTATATATTATACACGTTGCTTCTTGTTTGAACATGTAATATAATTTCATAATGTTTTATTACATATCAGCTGTTGATCAATTATTTTTATAGACAAAAGAAATATATTATTATTGTTATTAATAATATTATAGTTCTCTTATATTTTGAAAGATATAAGAACACCAACTAAATGTAGTACCGTTATTTAACAAATATTAATCATAAGATATCTTATACAAATGTTATCTATAAGTTCAGGTTTTATTTAACAGCTTGTTATTTTGTATAACAATATAATTATACATAAAAATAAAAAAGAAAATCTATTTTATGAAAACCTATATATATATATATATATATATATATTAAATGCATTGCAAATATCGGAATTAACATAATTTGTACATATTACATTATATATTAATAAAGAAAAAAGAGAGAGAGAGAGAGAGAAATAACTCGATACTTGACAATTTTATATTTCACATTATTTAAATAATGGGATTTTTTATGATCACGATGAATAGTAACTTTGGTAATATTTTTTTATTAATAACATTTAATTTTTGTGCTCATGCAATATAGATTATAACCACTCTGTAATCTTATCAATAGAAACTATATAACATTTTTATTGCTTACATAGTGCACGCAATGTATCTTTATAAGAATATATATAGAATATGTTTTTTTTTGTTTATACAAAAAATAACTGTAATCATTTTATATGTGCTAGTGCTTATTATAGAAAATAATATCATATGCAATCGTCTTAACGTTCTGTTTGTTACAAAAATTCTTCTAATGAAGAGATCTAATAGTGAATATCTTCTTTACATAGATACAAGCAAATTTAGAAATAATTATCGATAATAACAATAATACAATTGATTATTAATTTTGGTTGTTGCAACAAACCTTATGTATTAGTTATATGATATTATTGCATATAGATGAGTTAGATAACAATAATTATCTAATTTAATTATAATTACTGAAAAATTGTTGGTCAAATATATATAATTACATTTATATATATTTTGAATCAAAATATAGGTCATATATAGTTTCCTGGAACTTCGAATTTTATGAAACACAAATAGATTTATTATAATTCTATATAATTAATAAAGAAAGATGAATCATTTAATGACTAGAACTATGAATCAATGAGAAATGTGTGAAATAAAAATGTATTATACATGTTAATATAAACTTGTATTTATAATTGCAACTTATTGTAATATAAAATGAATATGTATTTTTGTTACTATCTTATAAATTACGTAATGTTATTGTAATTACCAAAAAGTCAAGTTATAGTGGCAACTATAATATACGAAATGAGAGTGTACACATTCTACTAATGCCAAATTTTATTTAAAAGTTCAATGTGATTCTATAGAATTCTATAGTATTCTATTCAACATCTTCTTCTGACATTGCAGTTTGAGAAACTAGCTTCTGTAAAAGATATTAAAGAAACTTAACAATTTCAATTGATATTGATGTTTGTAATATCTCAGAATATACGCACTTGGCCAACAGAAGGTATTCTTTGCAACAAAAGATTAAAAATTTGAGGAGGCAATGTTTTTTCAAGAACTTGCAACAAGTGACTAGGCTGACCACAAACTGCAACTGCATTGGCTAAATGTTCAATTCCACTTTCTACATCACCATGCATAAGCATTTCTTCTCCAAGTTGTACCTATTAATAAATCAATAATATTTCTTTTTATTACACTATACATATATTTTATATATAATATCAAAGTAATAATAATATTTAATAGTTTATTAACCTCTTGCAAAAAGAATTTCTGTACTGTCTCATGGTCTTTAAGATCTGGTATTTTAGAGTTTGCTTTCTGTGCTTGTTTTCTAGCACGTCTTCCTAAAATAAAACAATTATTAAAAAACATAATATAATTAAAATTATTAACACAAACGTAATATAATAATACAAATTATTAGTGTTTTTATCATTTGTAAAGTATAACGAATCAAATGTTATTTAAATATGGATAAAATCATTTAAAATAAGTTATCACATAAATATCTATAAAAAAGTTATCAAATTGATAAAAAAAAAAAGATAAAGATTAAATAGATAAGAAAATTAACATGACGAATAATATATATTTTTTTTTCATCTAATTTTATAATTCAAATTGGTGAATGAAATATTTAATATTTTTAATTGAACGTATGAATAATTTATCTGATGTTAAAATAATTATCAAGACCATGTGAATCATATCCAATTCCTAGACTTACGTTCACGTAGTTTCTTTTTAAAATCTGGATCACTACGGCGTTTTTGGTCAAAGTAAAAACAATAGCCAACAAAAATACCAGCGATGCCTACGGCAATACCCACTGCAGCTTTTGAAATCATGGTCATTCTGATAAATAACTTTAAATAATATAATGATGAAACTTATAAAATCCTCATTGCAACTTCGACCATCACGGAAAAGGCTATCTTCCCTCTGGTGCTAATCAGTGTGAACAAACCAAATTGTATTTAGGGCATGTTTTTAAAAAACAATTTAATATCAAGGTATGTTTTTGCGTATGTATGTAATAGAGAGTTCACAGTTTATATTTCCAATTCACGGATTAGTTAAACGTTCAATGTTTATCAACCAATCAGAATGCATTTTTATATTACATTTAGATTTTATAATAAATAACATATTTTTTTTTATAAAAGCTGCATAAAATAGTAATAATAGATATATAATATTTTATTTTATATTATATTATATTATATTATTTATGTTATATGTATTTTTTATTTTAAATATTTATATGCAATTGAAAGAATGTCACGTGACTGTTTGACCATGCGTACTCTACATTTCAAATAGAGAACTAGTTTCGCGCCAAATTGATCATATAAGAGGTAAATAAAAAATCTACGAAAGGATATTTTACAAATTAATTTATATTGTATTTGGTATGTATATATAATATTAAAGTAAAATAATATGCCGTTAGTAAAAAAGCCTATGCGTTATGCTCATCCAGAAGGACATACAGATGTTTGTTATTATACTGGAAAAGAGTGAGTAAACAATTGTTAAAGTATTGTTATCAATCATTCTTTATATTATATTGTATGCACATATATTAATTACTATTTGTATTTATATTTCAGTGGAGGTCTTATTACTTGTGGTTCCGATGGAGATGTTAGATCATGGTTGAATTTAATGGACGATGATCCAACAGCAAGTTGTATTGCAGAACAAGCAATAGCAGTGATATCAAAGGTAAAGTCATTTAATAATTTATATTTTTCATAATCATAACTAAGAATGTGAATTATTTTAAAACATTCTAATGGTTTCACTGAATATTTAAAATATAATACATCTGTATTTTCTATATCATATTAATGAAATTATAATATATATTTCAGAAAGGCAAAATATATGTAGGTAATGATAACAATACTGTTCAAATACTCACTCATCCAGATCTTGAAAAAGAAGGAATAGTTACTAGATTCGCTGCACCAGTATGTGCTTTAGCTACTACAACAAATAGTAATTATATTGTATCTGGTGGATGGTATGTTCAAATTATTTCTTTCCCCTATAATATTATATATTTGGTCTTTTAAATGTATTACATTATTGTATTACATTTTGTAGCGATATGAGAATACAAATTACCAATATTAATACATCACATAGCATAGAACTTGAAGGACATGAAGCTCCTATATTAGGTTTATCTTTGGATCCAAAAGAAGAATTTGTTGTATGTTAAACACATGATATATTTAATATTTAATTTATTCAATTTATACGTATGTATAACATGAAATTAAATGTTGCAGGCTTCTTCTAGTGCTGATGGTTCTATTAGAATTTGGAACATTATGGAAAAATGTACCGTTAACGTTTGGAATAATGTTGTACCAAAGTGTAATTCATTTTTTACTGCAAAATCTTATTGTACACCTAGTTTTCATTCTAAAGATGGAAGTTGTCTTGCGTATCCACATAATAAAGATATAATTATTGTAGAAAGATTAACTTGGAAGGAATCACATAAATTACAATGTCCTACTTTAAAAGCTGTAAGTTTTTATAGTCTAAAATTTATTTAATATTAATTATAAAATCAGAATATTTTAATTATATTTTACTTTGTAATATAGGAATTTAGTATTTGCAAATTTTCTGACTGTGGCACAAGATTAGCTGCTAGTACAGTATATGGAGAAATTGTTGCATGGAATATGGAAAATATGGCATTGATAGGAAATATTGAACATCCACAAAATACTAAAATCACTGCATTGGTTTGGAAACATAATGCATCAGATGAAATAGCATTCTGTGATATTTCAGGCCAGTTAGGTTGCATCGATGTGGTGTGTAAATTGATATATATTATTATATTATGAAAATATATTATTATAACTGTATTATTATATCATTTTAGATAGTTAATAACCAATCAGAAGATCTCCAAAGTAATGGACTTTCAACGAATAATGAAATTAGTGAAATTACAGAAATTCCATTAAACTACAATAATGATGACGATGATGATGATGGAGATAATGTAATAAGTTTAAATAAAATAAAAGCATCTGTAGAATATGAAGACGATGAGAAGTCTGTTATATCAGAGCAAATACAAGATGCAGCGCATAATGTTAAAAGTTTTATGCCAGAAATACGAATACAACCACCTTTTCAACCAGGATCTTCACCCATTCATTTATTATCACGATTTATGGTAAAATTACTTTATACTTTATTAAAAGTATGATAGTACAAATAAATATGTTTTTATTTGAATTGTTACAGGTGTGGAATGAAGTAGGCATAGTAAAGTGTTTTAATTCAGAAGATGGAGAAGAATCTAGTATTGAAGTAGAATTTCATGATATTACAATTCATCGTAGCATGCATATAAATAATTATTTGAATCATACTATTGCCGCTTTATCATCTAATGCACTTGTGTTAAATTGTCCTTCTATTGAAGATACAGCAAGCATACTTGTCGTAGTAGTATTGCAAGGTTAGAAAACCATTTAAGTTCATTGTTATTAATATTAATGACAATATAATATCAATAAATCGAGTGCAAAGGATTAATCATCAAATTAGTTGTTTAATGTAATAAAAACATTTTAAATTTAAGGCTGGGGTTCTGGAAATAAAGAATGGTCAATAAATCTTCCAGAAGGAGAAGAAGGACAATGCGTTGCTGCAGGTGACAATTTTGTAGCAATTGCTACTTCTAGAAGATACTTGAGAATCTTTATGATAGGTGGAACACAACGTGAAGTTATAGCATTACCTGGACCTGTTGTCGCAATGAATGCATTTAGCAATCATCTTGTTGTTGCTTATCATGATGGACTAGGTAAAATATAGAAAATTAAACAATAAGTCATATTGTTAAATAATTCATACGTTTATTATTAATAGGAGTAAGTGGAGATCAACACATGAGTTTACTTTGTATACAAATTTTTGGAACACGTTTAAAAAATCAAAAATTAAGTGTTCCTCTTTGCCCATCATCAGATCTTATGTGGTTAGGATTAACCGATTTTGGATCTCCAGTTATAATGGATTCAGAAGATATTGTAAAAATATATGATAACAAATCGTCTTTATGGAGAGTTGCATGTGATATGGATAAAAAGGTAAAAGAAAATGAAATAATATTATTTGATCATTTTGTTATTTAAATACTGTATATTTTAAATAGGGCAAAGGTAAAGCCGATCATTATTTTATAATTGGAGTAAGTGAAGAGCGTAGGTCTATCAATTGTGTATTATGTAAAGGAAGTTATTATCCAATAACTACTCCACGGCCAGTTGTTACCGAAATATCTTTAACAATTCCTCTTTGTGAGCCTGATTCGGAAAAAACTGAAAAGGAAACTAAATTGTGGCAATTAGGAAGTCAACCATCAGATGAAAACGAAGCAGTACTATTTCTTATTGCAGTATGTAACATTTTTGTTGTTGTCTTTTTTTATATAAAATTAGTAAACAAAGTAATAATAAATACTTTGAATTTAAATAGTTGGCTTGTCGAAGTAACGTTGAATATCGAGCAGTAGAATTATGTGAACAAATAGCATCACAAAAGGTATTGGATTTGGCGATAAAATATGCAGCACGTATTAATCGTACTGCTTTAATGAAAAAATTGGAATCCATTGCTGATGATAAAGAAAAGCAAGAAGAAGAAGAAAAAGAAAAACAAGAAAAAGAAAAAGAAAATAATAATCAAAATGGTACAAATAATGGTAATGAGGTAATCGAAGACACAGAAGACTTATTTTTAACCCCGGTGAGAAATAAACAACCCGATATAGAAATAAGGCCATTATCAATGAATGAAACTTTATCATTCAGAAGAAGTAATCCCTTTTTGAAAAGTACTGCTTCATCATCAAGTGGTAAAACGAAAGACAATTTAATTTATTAATTTTATTAATAAATATTTTTATTTATATAATTGTTCATTTTAATTTTGATATTATAGGTTTAGTTGGTTTAAATACTGCACAAGAAAAGCCTCAAAAATCAGCAGAAAAAATTATACCTTCTCCTAAATTAAAACCGAAAAAAGAAGTAAAAAAGGAAACGTTTGTTGGCTGGTACGCAAAACAGAAGAAAAATTTACGAGAAGAATTTCCCGATTATGAACCTGCTGAATTAACAAAAATAGCTTTATCTAGATACAAAGAAATGTCTAAAACGCAAGATAAAGATGAATCATCCGAAAGTAAGAAAAGGAAATTATCAAGTCCTGAAACAGAACTAAATAGTCAACCAAAGCGATCGTTAGCTGAAAAATTGAGTTCTTTTGCGAACGAAAAATAAATCATTTAAAAAAAAAAAAAGAAAAAAGAACAAAAGAGAAAGAAGACAATTTTTAAATTTGTGGTAGATATGTCATACGATTTATGAAATAATTATTTTTAGCACTATTATAGAACGTTAACATATTTTATATGCTATTACATTAAATATTTTTATACGTAATAATAGATTAAAAAAAAAAAAAAAAGAAAAGAAATGGATCAGTAAAAAAATGAATTTTTATTGATCTTATTATTAGTATTATATATTTTGTATTTAATATGAATATTGGAATGAAATGAATCTACATAATACACACGCATATTATGTACATTCTTTTGAAGGTTGCTAATTAAAGGTATCTTCTTTATCGACAAAGTTTCGAGTGATTTACTATCTTGTCGATAAAACAGCTCAGAAACTTTAAATCTCTTCAGTCTGCTTGAAATCATTGAACAAGCGGTACATTGAATTTTGACGGTAGTCAATATTAATTTAAAATAAGAGAAGAAATTAACTGAAGAAAAAGACAATGTTGGATAAAGCATTTAAAGGTAAATAGTATAAAAATAAATTGAGATAATAGTAAGGTAGACGAATTTCGAGGTTGCGTCTAAATATAAATTCAAGTTAGGTACATAAATCGCGTGT